GTTAAATGCCACTTCTGTTATTAGAGCACCTGGAAAGAAGATCAGCCTCAAATATCAGCTTCTGAGGTTAACTTCGTTAAAATGATATCATTTTCGACTAGTTTTTAAGTGAGTCATGTACCACTAATTCATAAAATAACTCTGAACTCTAGTTTCATTTTCCAGCAGGGTTTTAGACTTGCAAATTCAAAGGCAGCTAAATGTTACCACCCATCAATATATGGAAATTTAAAAGAACCAAGCCCAATATGTTGCATTTTCTAGTTACTCATCCTATTAGCAATGTTTTCCATCTCTTTCCAAAATTTGGTATCCCATTCTCTCTCTCTCATGCTGCTCCAGAATTGCAAAAGGAAGGCAATAAAGAGAGCAGAATGTATTGGCTCAGGATAATGGGAATTGCAATTCAACACATTAGGAAGACTCTAGGCCAAATGAATATCTCTGTATTGTTTATTTGATAATAAATGGGTAGGTCTTTCCTTGCCATGTGCCTATGAGGAATATAACAAAGGCTTACAAATGGCTGATGCTGGATCTAGTTATTTCATTAGTAAATGATGTTCTCTGCTGTTATCCATAGTGGGCTCAATGCTAGGATATACAATATTTATCACCATAATATCCCAAAAGCTCATTATTACATTGGGATGCTATATGTTGTTTTATGCTGTTTAAGACATGGGTGTCCAACCTTGGCAATTTTAAAAAATTGTGGACTTCAACTCCCATATTTTTTTGCTTTGTGTAGTATCACACTATGTTAGCAACCATTAAAATGAACAAGAATAAAAAACAGCCTGGAATTATGTAATGGATATTCTGAAGCTATATCATCTTGGAAGGATTGATCATCTTGGCAAAAATCTAGTTATGTGGTTGCTAAGACTCCACACCCACTTGATGACACATAATTAGTCCTGAAGTAATTAGGAGAGGATGAAATACATGGAGGAAAGTCAGAATAATTTATTTCCACATCTGCAGCTTCCCTGCTCCAATTTATATTTTTATTGGCTTCCTCCTTCTGTAAAAAGTTCAAATATTTATAGGTCTGGAATTGGGAATCCCCAGGGAGCAATTTGGGGGAAATGACAACAAAAGTAGAGAAAGAATTAAGCAGCTTTCCTCTTTATTATTTCTTAATTGAAATGGATCTGTAATCAAACATTTTTTCATCTTTTAGGAAAAATCTGGGCTATTATATCCATATGCCATGTAGAATAACTGTTTCTAGAGTCCTTACTGATTAAAACTACCATGATCTACCATGATCTACCATGAAGCACAAGTGTTGGAGGTAGGATGTTTCCCTGAAAATAAGCCCTCCCCTGAAAATAAGGCCTCCCTGAAAATATTGCAACACAGCAGCAGCCATGAGGTGACCATGCTCACTGCCTCCTGCACCTCAAAAATAATAAGACCTCCCTGAAAATAAAGCCAAATACTTATTATGGGGGAAACACGGTAGGATGTTAAGAAGGAGCACCACATGGAGCTGATCACTTCTCAGAGTTTCATTGGTTGCCTTTGCTTGTTGGGCATGACAGCTCCTTCCCCAGGGTAGGCCAACAGAAATGCTTATGCCTATGACCTTCCCTCTTGGTTTGCCTATAACAGTGGTGTCAAACTTGTGCCCCGTGGACCGGATGCGCCACACGCTGGCCACGCCCTTCCCCATTTTAGCGAAGGGGGGAAAGTCTTGATACATCACGTGACAACAATATGACAATGTGAGTTTGACACCCCTGGCTTATAAGGTCAGAAGTTGGGCAGAAGGAGATGGCCTGTCTTCCATTAGGAGAGAAAGGTGAATGAGCAGTTATTTAACTATTAAATAGAGATCTTAGGAAAGTCTGAAAGGCCATATATGTCATTCTACAAAATGAAAGGACTTTTTTTTTGGGGGGGGGGAATGACAGATATGCTCCCCAGTTACCAAACTTCGATGAAATAACAACAGGGCAAGGCTGTTCTTGAAATAAGATGAACACAAGGAAGTTTCCTGTGCTTTCCAATTAGGCAGACTATTATGGCATGTATTTTGAGACTGCTTTCCTTCCACAGCTTTGAATCTGAATAGGGAACTTGCTTTGAGTTTTGCACTCGTTATCCAAGAGAGTGTATCTGTAATAGCTTCACTAGATGTGACCCATAAGCATAACAAATGTAAAAGAAAAGCAAAATACATTTGCTGTCTAGCTGGTATTTGGTTTCAATTCCATTTAAACTATTAAGTATCTTTCGTGTGTAGCTTTCTATTTATAGAAAGCTCAGCTAAAACTTGAAAATAAATTCAGATACCACAAGTTCTTTAGCCAATAAAATACACCAAAAAGGAAGTGGCAAATACATTCTTGCATGGTATCCACCTAACTGGGCCAGTTTTCCAGCACCCAGATCACAATCACATGATCTCGGGGCACTGCAGTGGCCAGAACCTAAAGACCAATTATAAGCACCACAAATCAATGCCATTGAAAATTGAGAGGGATGTTGAATGAACAGTTGTTAAATGAGGACTATACCTCCTCGTTTCCTTTTCTTCTCCAACTGTGGATCAGAATGGAAGAATTTTGCAGATGGCACTGGGCCCAGAGAGAAGCAGAATGTTTACTGTTGCAACTGATGGCACAGCTGGTGTCAGGAAATATGGCAATGTGTTAGCAACTCAGTGACACCTTTTGAAGTGTGGCTGCGTTTTTCATAAAGATCCATTATATTTGTGTTGATTTTTGTAAGAAGGTAGCACAAAGAGCTGCAAAGAATTGTAACAGGAAATAGAAAGCTATGCATGCTATAAAGCATACACCGTTCATACAATAAGCTTTTTCTATCTGATATCTTTGGACAATACCATAAACTTGCTGAAGGTAAATTTAGGTTATTCTGGTTTAAATGATGTATAAGCCAGCAAATCCTGCAGCAAATCAAAATCTGGAAGACGGCAGTCCCAAAGGAGGCTTTTTTGGTATTTCTTTGGAAGACGTTTCACTTCTCATCCAAGAAGCTTCTTCAGCTCTGACTGTATGGTGGGGAATGATTTATATTCCTTGCAGACAGCTGGACATTTGCATCCTTTTAGAGGGTCTTTGAAACACTTGGAGGTTTACCTGTGTCTTCAGAGTCACCTGAGTAGTGCTCCTGGTTCCTGTAGTCTGCCATCTTTTTCCTCTGGAAATCCATTCCTACTCCCCACCATTCAAAGGGTGTTCATCCCAAATTGTATAGCTAAAAGTCTTTAGAGATTCTCAGTCATCTAGGTCGTGGTTGTCCCAGAGGTGCTTTTTCAGGAGGCAACTTGACTTTCTTGTTTTTTTTCCTTTGGAAGACGTTTCTCTTCTCATCCATTTCATACCTCCTGAAAAAGCACCTTTGGGACACCCATGACCTGAATGACTGAGAATCTCCACAGACTGCAAGATGGCAGATTTTGTCATGACTGATACCCAGCATCAGAGCTTTGATAACACTGCTGTGCCTTTCATCTATCCAAAGTCATATTCTACTCCAGTGAGCAGATTAGATTGAGGGGATGGTGACTGATTTGAATGAGATTTTGAATTGGTATTAGTAAATTGCTGTATTCCATTGTTTTGATCTCTCCAGAGGAAGAATGGATTAAAATGCCACATAATATAATATGATGTGATGCATTTCTAATGTGTGATATTGTACACGATTCAATGTGTTATTTTTACTTCAGCATTTAATTAAACAGAAGTGGAAGTAAGTGGTGGGGAGGAGGAAGCTTCAGGTATCAAAAAGAACAATTTAAGTTCTTTTGGATGACCATCTAAAGGTCCAAAACTGTTTTTGATTTCTTTGGGCTGCAAACTCTTTTTGGATATATTGATAGTACTGGACTATGGATTGCAGTCCTTGCCACTCAGAGTTGTACTTGATGCAATCCTAATACGGATGCAATTTCTGTATTACGGCCCCAAACTGACTAGCTTTCCGTGCTTTAGACAGAGGGAGGGCCACTTGAACTGAGGGGCCCATCTTGTCAGTTACTTTATCTTGTTCGTCCATGTGGTCAACTGGTAAAATGCAGGAATGATTTATCATTGCTTTCTCTCGTGTGGTATGAAAAGTTACTTTTTCTATTGTCGTTGGGCTAATCATCTATCTCTAGCTTCATCCTGTATCACTGCTATCCAATGTAGGTGCTTGCTTGCTTTAGCGGAGCCAGTGGGATGATCTTCATGCATTGGATGACCCTGCTGGGAATATACACTTGGTCTACACTGCTGGTGTTCCTTGCTCATCCTTCCTAGGAACATCCCCCTAAATCTCCTCACTTCAGTGGACTATGTAACACCTAATTGTGCACAGAAAAATCTATTAAACTGGCCAAGATTCAGTGGAACCACAAAAGAAAATGCCACATTCCCTGAGACTGTCAAGGCATGCTTTTGGCAGTGGTTCATTATATTGTTGAAAACACTGTATCCCAGGTCCAGGAAGCCAACATTTAAGATGATCGTGCTGTAGATTTCACATTTTTTCAACCAAACAAATTTCTTTTGGTTAAGCAAATGATGCTTAAGAGACAATTTATTGGTACCAACAAGTTTGCTGCCAGCAGTGGGAAAACTACCTTAGCATTCATTGTTTTCTTTTTGCAGGGTAGATTTTTCAGTGAGCAGGTAATGCAAACGCTGGGGGCCAATAAACTTTCTAAGCAGAAATTTCTATTTCATACTCAAAAGTGTTTACTTTTTGTAAAAAATACTTTTTTTTTTACCAGAGAATAGAAACCTACTTTAGTACCAATGGACTGAAAATTAAAACTGGTCTGGAGAGGCTGAGTTTTCAGGACCAACCTCAAACATTTACAGTATACAGTCTGTAGCCAGTATAGCTAGCATTGAATAAGTTCCCATCATTGTCTTCTCCGTATGTAAAAGGGAAGTTGTAATGCAGGGACCAAGATGGGAAAAGGGTTACTTAAGCAATCACAAGCTAAGAGAAAAGCTTCCTCAAATATTGTTCAGTCACGGTGAATTTTCATCTATGATGGTCTTTATCCAGGAGATATAGGTGTCTGTGAGCTGAGTATAGATGCCAGGATATTCAGGATGGTCACATTTTTTAACAAAGGAGACAATGCCTCTTTGATGCTCGTTGCATATCAATGGCCCACCGCCATCACCCTGAGAAAAAAGACAAACAGGGTGTGTGTTTCCATTCACAAAAGCTAAGACAGCTCTGCTGATGTGTACAGAAAAAGTAACTGTAATTTTTTAATTTATGTTTAACAATTTAAATGTATTCAGTTTCAAAGAAGTTCAGTAATTTTATTTTGCACAAATCTCATTTCTCCCATAAAATAAAAAGGGGCAGAAAAGGTTGCTTCTCCCATACTTATGACATCTCTGCACCACTTCTGGGGTCCTTGGAGAAAATAATAATTTTAAAAATTCACTGGTGGAAGAAAAAAGTTCCCTACACCTAAGACACATCACACCATAAATGGGGATGTAATGTGTCATGTTCTTAATTTAATGAATTCTGAGCAATATGCAACACTGGCTTAAAAATGGTAGGCAAGGTCAAGTGACCAAAGTCCCACCCATTTTTAATAGGCAACATCTCACACATACTAAAAGATAAACATAAAGGTTCCCCTCGCACATATCTGCTAGTTGTTTCTGACTCTAGGGGGCGGTGCTCATCTCCATTTCAAAGCCAAAGAACCAGTGCTGTCCAAAGACGTCTCTGTGGTCATGTAGCTGGCATGACTAAACGCCGAAGGTGCACCGAAAGCTGTTACCTTCCACCAAAGTTTCTATTTTTCTACTTGCATTTTTACATGCTTTCGAACTGCTAGGTTGGCAGAAGCTGGGACAATTAACAGGAGCTCACTCCGTTACACGGGGCTAGGGATTCGAACCTCCAAACTACCGACCTTCTGATTGATAAGCTCAGCGTCCTAGCCACTGAGCAACCACGTCCCTCACACATACTACAGACAGGTAAAAGGGGATGGGACTTCAAGTTCCCCATTTGATCCACTGTTTTGAGGCCAAGGATTGTTGCTGTGGATCATCCTGCTGATTTATCAGCCAAAGAGCCAGATGGTGTAGCTCAAACCATGTCTTTCCTCACGTGGTGGTAACAGTTTTGAACTGTTCCTCTATGAGTCCTTACACATGACTAAGCCTTCTTCAGTTGACCAGCAAAGGAAAAGCTTATCTCCTCTATTTCAAAGCGGACAGTCTTTTATCTGAAGGGCTCTCAGATCCAGTCCAATGTAAAAGAAAAGAAATATCCTATAAGAAGAGATAGTGGGAACCTGACACTTGGATTGTTTGCACATTAACAGCAGACACTGCAATGATCAGAAAAGTCCCATAGTCACCCACTTTCACATAGTGGTGAAATCAACAGTATTATAACTTTCTCTTCTTAAATTCACAATGTTCTCATGAGGATATATCTTTCTGCATAAAATAATGTACAATTTTTGGATGAACATTTGCATCAATTCTTTTATTCTAATTTTTGAAAAAGGCATTTCCTACTATTTATATATGTAAACAATTTTGGAGCCTCCCTCAATTCCGGTGGATTAGTGGCCATCCTTGTCTCTGGGGATAGTAGCAATAGCAATAGCAGTTAGACTTATATACCGCTTCATAGGGCTTTCAGCCCGCTCTTAGCGGTTTACAGAGTCAGCATATCACCCCCACGATCTGGGTCCTCATTTCACCCACCTCGGAAAGATGGAAGGCTGAGTCAACCTTGAGCCGGTGAAATTAGAACCGCTGAACTGCAGATAACGGTCAGCTGAAGTGGCCTGCAGTAATGCAACTTAACCACTGCGCCACCTCGGCTCTTAAGATAGTGTTCATACAATGGCGCCACAGCTAAAAAAGTGGGTTTCCTGACCCCTTACTCTCCCACAACCACATGGGGGTCTATGGAAGTGATATGGCAAGCAACCTTAATCTGCACAGAGTTATCTTACCACACATAAATCCTTCCCACTGTTCTTCTGTCCAGCACACACCATCTTCTTTGTCACCACAGGATGAGAATTATAATGTTTCTTGTCATTGCAAACATTTCTGTCAATGATGGTGACGTTAATTGCACGGAATTTCTTAAATCTCCTCCTCTTACTAGTAGTTCCCCATCCTTTCACTATGCAGGAAGTTCCTGCTTTGATATCATGGGTAGAGGTAGGAATTGGAAGGGTGTTTATTTTAAGCTTCGTTGCCATAACATGAAGCTGGTAAAATAAAAAGAGAAATAGCTAATTTGAATTAATAGGTTTTGATAGAGGCTGATGATTCTGCCACTCTCTAATCTATCTCAGATTTGTGGGAAATTAATCTTCTTTTCTTACCAGTTGATGCACTTTTGCACTCCAATAAAAGGGCTTATTTGGGGTCTGAAGATGAGAGCTAAATCTCATATTCCAGTGCTGAGATAGGTAACTCTTTTCTACTATAGATCAGAGATAAATCTTTACTCTTCCTTAATGCTGGGACAGGTGAAATGAGAAAATATGGGAAACCAATGGAGCTGGAGAAAGAAGTAGGTAAAATGGAAATCTTGAAAACTAATTTGGCCTACAGTCCATGAATTCCTTGCCTGGCTTATAGCACACCCCAAAATAACTGATGGAATCCAAAACTGGTTCCAGATAGCACATTGGTATTTCGCAGAAGAGAGTAAGTACTTCCGCAGAGAAATACCTCTAACATCCCCAGAATATTATAGCTATAAATGATCCCTTTTGAATGCCTGCTAAGTGAAGGAGATAGAATTAAGTTGAGTAGTCATACGAAACAACACACAATACATTTTTGATAATGGAGTTTTAGCAGACCTACCATGTGAAAACATTTGCTGTTACAAATTGCCCTGCTATTATAGTTCTTGATGCATTCCCAGGAAATTACTCTGCAGTCTGAACAAGCAAAAATGCTCTTGAGTGACAAGCAGGCCTGTACCGCCCAGACTGTGGAAGTTCCAATTTTGGGATCTTGTTGAAGTTGAAGTCTTTTTCACTTCCATTTTTCCATTTAACTCCTCACTCTTTGATTCTTATTTTAATTATGTATTTTGGCTTCTTGGCTCTAGTAATTTTGAAGTTTTTAGGTTTTTCAAACTATCATTATATGGTAATGATCATTCCTGATTTGCTAAACCTTATTGGTTTGATTATTTTATTAGGTTATTGTTTTATAAATTGTAAATAGATTTGTTGTGTTTGGTCAAGAGCCAGGAAATAAACATGTATAAATGTTAATTACACATTGCTGAAGGATCATGCTCATATCAATAAGCACAATGCTATAGATTCTTTTTTCTCAGAACGTTCATAATCAATGTACTGATTTACCTTCAAAAGCATGATATCATTTTCAAATGTTTTTGGATCAAATCCTGGGTAAAAAAAGATTTTGGTAATGTTTATAAAATCTTTTCCTTCATCCTTAATTATGGCTTGTCTTCCAACACCAATATATGTTTCTTCACTCCTAAAAAGATAAATTAGAGTATGTAGTAATTCAATATACGGTAGCAATATTTGTCTTCATATATGTGTCCTTCCTCCTACTTTCATACAATGTTTATCTTTGGGCATCTTCCCCAAAACATCTCTCAATGTTTGAAATGCCACTTTACACAGCATAATGCCAACCACATGTCTGCGGGACCATAACTTCAAGCATCTGGAATTAGTAGTCACTATCAAAGTACAATTGCTTCCTATTCCAAGTCCTTGGGAAGGATTTGATAGGTGGCAGAAATACCAAATCCAGCCTGGCTGACTATGCAATGAACCATAATAACAGCAACATTAACAAGAATAATTGTTTGTTTGCATAGCTAATGTTCACACATTGATAGAGGTTCTTGTAGCGGTCAAGATTAACTATGGGCCAGAAAAAAAACCTTGGAGTGATATAGATTTAGCAATGTAAATATGATGAAACCACAAGAATGGATTTTTTTTTTTTTACAGAAACATGACATTGGAACATTATTCTTCCAAAAATGTCAGAAGATGAATCTCACTTTCCTTTCTTCTTGGAGTTTATCTTCCACGTCACATTTCTCGCTTACAATGGGATTTCTATTCTCTGTGATTTATTGACTGATTAATTGATTGATAGGTATTTAGCAATTGTGTTTTTCTGAGTCGAGTTAAATCCGATTGGGTGTGTGTGTATAACTCTTTCTAGCAATTTATATTAGAAATCAACTCTAGATATCTGGTTGGAAAATGTCTAATGGGCTTGCCTAAAGGATGCCTAAATGGATGCAATGGCAAGAAAAAAAAATTGAACAAAATGTGGATACTCACGGAAAGCAATGGGCTGCCGTTAACACCCAATTGTGTTTGATCAACGTTCCTGCACATAATAAATGTTTGTGTTTGATGAGACCAACCACATATGGTATTGTGTGTTCTTCCTCCTCAGATAGATCTGCAGATTGAACTATGAGAAAAGCCAGTTGGATCAGGTTGAACATCATATAATTATGAACTAACTATTGAAGAGCTCCATTCACTGACCGTAATCATATGCAAGGAAGAAAGCAAATAAAGATGATGACACTAGTTCTGCTTCTGCAGTTTTCATATTTACGGTTAAATTTCGGCTCCTAGAATTTCTCTGCACAGTTTAGAACCCTGCCAATCAAAATTTTAAATCATGTAGCGAGCCCGACAGAGAAGACTTTCTGATGCAGAAATTACTATGCATGTGCAAAGGGTGACAGAAGAAGTTAACATTAAAGCACTTATTCCTTCTATCATTATACATATTTACAGTAGGATATTTTTCCCGTTACCATTGAGGGTATTGTGATTTGGAATTTCATTTCACAGTCTGAGATTTTGTCATGGGAGGTCTAACAAAATGAATGTCGAGGAGGCTTGTCCATACACAAAATGGCAGTCAGTGGCAAACCTGCCATTTTATTGAAGGAAACATGTGAGATTGCTTCCTGTCATAGGAGGCTCCCTCTCCCTCCTCAGTTTACTTTTTTTTAGGACAGGGGCAGTAGAAGAGTGGGACATCATTCTTTGCAAGACAGTGGAGCCAACCTGTTTTTAAGCAAAATCTACATGTTTCACATGTGTGATAGTTATAATCTTTAAGCCACCAGTTTGAGCTCTGAAAGAATAGGGGCTGCCACAAAGAAGAGGGAGTCAAACTATTCTCCAAAGCACCTGAGGGTAGAAGAAGCAGCAATGGGTGGAAACTAATCAAGGAGAGAAGCAACTTAGAACTGAGGAGAAATTTCCTGACCAATTAATCAGTGGAACAACTTGCCTCCAGAAGTTGTGAATGCTCCAACACTGGAAGTTTTTAAGATGTTGGATAACCATTTGTCTGAAATGGTATAGGGTTTCCTGTGTAGGCAGGGGGTTGGACTAGAAGACCTCAAAGGTACCTTCCAGTTCTGTTATTCTCTTCTAATACTATCAGAGAGAAATGCCATAAAAGTGTTGCATTTGGATATGCAAAATTCAAATGTCTGAATAGCAACCTCAAGTGCAAAATGAGTGGAAACTCTTTAAAACTTTATTGAAATGCTTTTCTATTTTGGAGAGAAACTATTCCTTTGCTCTAGGTGTCAGCAGGATCCAATGCTTTTATCAAAATGATCAATCAATTAGAATAGAGCTGGAAGGGACCTTGGGGGTTTTCTAGTCCAATCCCCTGCTCAAGCAGGAAACCCTGTACAATTTCAGGTGGACAAGTGGCTATCCAGTCTTTTCTTAAAAATCTCCAGTGAGGAAGCACAACTTCTGAAGGCAAGTTCCACTGATTAATTGTTCTCACTGTTAAGAAGTTTCTCCTTAGTTATAGGTTGCTTGATTAGTTTTCATCCTTGTTTCTTCTGGTGCTTTGGAAAATAAGTTGACCCCCTCTTCTTTGTGGCAGCCGTTCAAATACTGGAATACAGCTATTATATCACCCCTAGTCCTTCTTTTCTCTGTGATGAGAGGGCGACAGACATTTCCACTTCTTTCATATAGCCATGTGACATCACAGAGCATGCTCAAAGGGCATGAAATTTGCATCATGATTCCCTTTGCTCCTCTCCTGTGGTCACCTCTGCCTTAGAACAAATCCCTCCATGTATCATTGAGGCTTTGAAAAAAGGCTTTGTTTTAAATCTTTTAAAGCCTTGTTGGTGCTAGAAGATCAGTTGCTCGTTGGAGATGAGCATGAAGCTGGAGCTGGTGATGAGAGAATCTTCTGTTTGAGAGGTTTCGGTTTCTTTAGATCACCTTGTTCCCATTATGCTCCCATTCACCTTTAAACAATTGCTGTTGCACAAAGGCAAAGTGAGGAAAATACATTCACAAAATAGCACTTACCCCTCTGGTTTTTGAGGAAGAAAATGGTAATAGAAAAGCACAAAAGAAACAAAAGCTCCATAGGTGCTACTCTGAGTTTGCCAACAAGATATTCAATATATATTGAACACATAAAAAAAGCCAGGATTCATTTGCGAAATGCATTCTTGGCAAGTTCAGAAATATTCACCGATAATAAAAAGCCTTTGGAGAAGGAGGTATCATTTTTAGGCACCAGAGTTTAGCAAGGTGTGCAGTGGAGAAAGAGAGAGAAATTAGCTGTCACTAATTTTTTTTGTTGTCACACAAAAAAAGGGTAGGCTACAATACTGTAGGCGGAACACTAAACCTGGAGAAAGACTGAACAAGTCTACTAGAGGCCCACATGATTGTGACATCAACATTCTGTTGCTTCAGCCACTTCTGGAATTGTGTGATGGGATGACTGTTCATCATTCTTTGGGACAGATCTTTGGAAGATAACTAAATCCATCAGGAAAAACTCTGGAGGAGGGCTTATATGGTGCATTCCATACTGGGACAACAGGTGACTGACTTCTTTCAAAGAAGAGCTTATTGTAGAAGTTCACAATGTAATACATAAAAGGAATAAACAGTTATTCTGTTTTCATGAGAATTGTATACTTGAACCCCGTTAATAGCATCTTAATTTATACATTCTAGTCTATTCTAACAACTGGTGGCTTTATAGCAAGGACAAGCTAAAGAAGGTGGGTTCATGTATAGTAGAAATGCAAATAGAGATCTTTTACATTATTTTTGTACTGTGTTCTCCTATTTTACTGTCATTTTCAAGCCTCATTATTTATTACTTGACAGTTGGTGAGAAGCAGATGAGGTTGGCAGACTAGGCAAGCATAAAACATTTGCACAGAAAGTTTCATTTCACGTAGTTGTAGAGTTAATTGTCATCAAAAGATGAAAGAACATTCTTAGAAATTTGCTGTTGAGCACAATTTAGGTTTGACTGGGGAAGGGCCAAATTGTCAACAATCATAAATACTCCATTTTAATCTATTTCATCAGTACAGAATCATGTGATAATGTAATTTTCTGCTCAGTGAGTGCTCAAGAGAATGAACCAACGTAAATAATTTAAAAAGTATATTAGATGAAAATGCTGAACAATGTTTCATGCCTTGAAAATAAAGAATAATTTATGATTGTTGACA